GCATCCTCAGCCTTGTGAATATGGGGCTAACTAAAAAGCAGACTAAGGAAAATTTTACCAAAAATGGAGACATCAATCAAACTTTATAAAAACCAACAAACTATTTTTGTTGTTGCTGTTGTCTGCCCACTGCCTACCGCTGCTTCCGTGGCTCTTTGCACACCAATGCTAAGCTGCGCTGTCATGACAAGCTACCCAGCACCAGCACCATTCCTGTGTCACTGGCTTCAGTGACCCCACGAAACAGTGTCTGACGGGGCCAGGGATTCAGGACCCAGTACTGCCTCCCGTGCATCCTGCTTCAGAAAGTTGCTCATGGTCCGAGCCCTCCTAAACACCACTACTCATAGGGCTGATGGTGGGAAGTCAGAGTGATAAAAACAAGCTCTGAAGACTGCCGCGATGCTCAGGAAACATATGTCAAAGTATAGAGTCCAACCTTTAAAAGATGACGTAAGCAAACTTAAAAGGGTACCTAGCAACAGCTCCTACTTCACCCTCTTCGACTCGTCCATCAAGCAGACAGAAAGACAGGAGAGGAGGAAGGAGAATCCCACTGGCACCAGAACAGAAGCCAAAGCAAACTCCAAGGACTAGGAGTCTGTCGTGAAGTGTACGTTAGCAGGGTATCATTTTAACAAAGCGTGGGTTTTCAAAGGTTTGAGCAGTTCACTAAATACCACCAAAGGCACCCAGAACACCCACGAAGAGCACGCCAGAACAGATAACTGTGCCCAAACAAACAAAATCCTATTTTTACCCTAATAAATAACCCAGAGCAATTTCTTCAGAGAAACAAGTTAAAGGGCACAGTCAGAAACATGTTTCATAACTGATAAAATGCAACCTTAACACGAGTATGAACATACCTACATCTGGGAGACAGTCAAGTGTAGGAAGTCTTAAAATTCACTAAGATCTTAACACAGGTATGTAGCATTTCTTAGGATTTTAGGGATGTTTAAGCACCTGTATATTTATTTACAAATACACTTTGATAGCCAGCCAAGTGGCTTAGGAAATAAAGAAAAAGAGCACAGTGTCTTGTTATCATGTCGGTGTGCCATTTATGGCTAGCAGAAGGGATCAAAAAACCCAAATGACCATGTAATCAGTAAGTCGGGTGCTCAGCAAGGGATACCTAACAGGCTGTGCTGACACCCAAGAAGGTGGACAGGTAAAACCAAAGTACAAGACGAAGCAGCATGGGTCAGGACCAGGTATGCATGTGTGAAACTCAGAGGGCGATCTCTCCTGAAACGGTAATGTTGCAGGGGTCATAGCCCTTCCCTGGCCCTTTTCCTATGCCTTCCTAACTCACAGCTAACGCAGGACAGCACTGGAAAGCATTCAACCAGTTCATGATTCTGCACCTCACTCACTGCGGAAGTTCCAGGCTCCCTTCTCACCTCTGCCTCCTTTGACTATAGATAGTCCTACAGCACCAAGGTCACTGCCACTCCATAGCCAGTGCTAAGCTAGAGGACTTAGATTCCTAGATTTCTGAGCAGGGTACCTCCACTTTGACCTGTTCCTAGACTAATATACACTCTTGTGCCTGCCCCAGTCTGTCTACGTAGCCATCTGTCAATCTACCTGCTGCTGTGAGCAGTTGGACTAGCCATTTCCTTTCCTGATTTCCTAGGATCCAACCTCCACTCTCAATGGTTATCCTATCAAACTGATTTTACGTGCGTGTATGAATGAACCTATCTACTTATTCTCGATACAGTGAGCAACCAGCGTTATGGCAGGCTCTGTGAACACAAGCACCTTAGAGACAAGACCTTGAACGCAGGCAGCACATGGAGAGGGAACCTGATTGGCAAACGAGTAATTATTATATGGCAATATAGTTGGCACCAGGTCAGGAGTATACAGAGAGAATCGGGGGCCCAGAAAAGATGTGGGTAGGGGAGCCAGTCTTCATGTTTGCCCTCAACTATAATTTACGTGTTCACATTTGTGTCTAACACATCCATTTAAGTGGTGAGTTCCTTGTAATATAAGCTCTGAACAAAGGTACAGAACACCTCCTTCCAAGTGTACAATCACAAACCTAAACACTGCAAGGAAAACACACTGTTTAAACTTTGAGTTGCTTTTCTGAGCTAATCACTATGCTTGTCAGGGTTCTCTAAAGGAGCAGAACTGATGGAATGGAGAAAGATTTAATTGTGTACATATTCAAAGGGAAGACAAAAGCCTGACAAAACAGCATTAGGAGAGGTTCAAATCCCCTTCCACTGCACTGCAATCCCACTCACTAGATGACTGCAAGGTCAAGCTCAGAGACCGCTACTGAACGAGCTTTTCAAAAGCTGTGACTTTCCAAGCTGGAGACACTGTCTTACATCACACAGCAGGCCATGAGATTTAAGGCAGGTTTAGGAAGTCCACGACAGAACCTGGTTTGTCCTGAGTTGAGATCGCAGGTCTCAGGAGAACAAACAACAGGAGGTCATTTTCGTGAAGCAAGTACAGCCATTACTGATGCCTCCCACTCAGATCAGCCATTCAAATGAACACGGAACCATCTGGCATCTCTGACCCTGCTGCGTTTTCTTACCCAGCACTTTTAGAAGTGCACACACTTTCATCAACCTCCCGCCCACACTCTATGTCCACAGAAGGAATTTCTACATTGCCCATTATTTGGCAGGCTAGGAAATCACTCACTCTGAGGAACACTGTACAGTGCACTGGCCACCGCCCTCCTATGTTTACATTTGCAGGACCGCATGCTGGGCTGGAGGACACAGGTTTTATATAACACAAGATGCCTGGAATCTCCTGGTATCTTAGCAAGTGGCATTTAAATCTTGTGAAATTAGAACAAAAGGATGCCAACATAAGACAGATGCGGGAGCTGAAGAGGTAGCTCAGTGGTTAACAGCACTGGCTGTCCTTCTAGGGGGCGTGGCATTGGTTCCCAGCACCCACGTGGCGCCCAGCCACCTGTAACTTCAAGGAGATCCTGTGCCCTTTTCTAGCCTCTGAGGGCATCAAGCACGCATGTCATACATATTGGCAAAACACCCAACATTTGAATTTTGAAATTAAAAAAATTAAAGGAAAAGTGCAGAAAAAAAGTGGTTTTTTTTTTTGGCTTTACATACTTTCAGAAAGTTACGTAGAACATAGTATCTGTTATCTGACCCTTGATAAAGTTAATAAGTGGTCCAAATATCTTCTAGTATCAAAGAAGGGAAATATCCAGGACAAGTATCCTTGTCAAAAATAATGGGTGTGGTGGTTTAAAAGGAAATGGCCCCCATAGGGAATGGCACTATTAGGAGATGAGGCCTTGGAGGAAGTATGGTCTTGTTGGAGGAAGTGTGTCACTGTGAGGGTGGGCTCTGAGGTCTCCTTTGCTCAGGCTATGCCCAGTGTGAGGCACAGATGTAAGACTCTCAGCTCCTTCTCCAGCCCCATGTCTGCCTGCATGCTGCCATGCTTCTCATCAGGAAGATAACGGAGAAAACCTCTCAACTGTAAGGTAGCCCCAGTGAAATGTTTTCCTATGTCGTGGTCATGGTGTTTCTCTTCACAGCAGTAGAAACCCTAAGACAATAATTATCAGAAGCAATAGGTTCTTTTAAAGCTAGAGTCTTGGGCTGGAGAGATGGCTCAGAGGTTAAGAGCACTGACTGCTCTTCCATAGGTCCTGAGTTCAATTCCAGCAACCACATGGTGGCTCACAACCATCTGTAATGAGATCTGGTGCCCTCTTCTGGCCTGCAGGCTTACATGGAGGCTGAACCCTGTGTACATAATAAATAAATCTTTAAAAAAAATAAAGGAGTGTTTCTTGACTCTATCATTAAAAAAAAGCTAGAGTCTTTTCTGCATCCAATCCACATTTGCTGCCATCTTCTCTGCTCTTATTAAGGCTGCACCGGCCCTACCCTCTTGACCTTTCTCTGCACATCTGTAATCCACAGACTATTGGAATATCAGGGGTAGCGAGGGGGAGTGCTCACCAACAGTGGGCCAAAGGACACCATGGCACAGAATGGCTGTTTTGGAGAGCTGCCCTCGTGACCCAAGGAAGGTAATCCAGGAGCTAGAGACATTCAATTGATTATCAGGGGTAGCGAGGGGGAGTGCTCACCAACAGTGGGCCGAAGGACACCATGGCACAGAATGGTGACCCAAGGAAGGTAATCCAGGAGCTAGAGACATTCAATTGACTTTCCCGTGTCACTAATTCCTTTGCCTGAGAATGTGCTCCACCCCTTACAAACAAGCCCTATCTTCACCTGTATTCAAACAGAAACAGGACCAGTTAAAAGAGCTGCGGCGGAGGAAAGGCAACTGCCCTCGATAGCAGCAGTGGCAGTAGGAGCAGTGTAACTTGCCTGCGGTGTGCAGAACCCTCCTGTCCTTCGGGCTCTGCCACAGGCTCTGACAGGAAAGGAGTCAGCACGGGCCAGCTGCGGCTACTCTCCGACCCTCCCAACTCCACAGTAAGCTCGTGTTTTCCCGCCCGTGCTCCATCGCTGTGCCCAGGGCTGCTGCCCGCTCCTTCATTCACGTCTTCTCATCCGTATCTCGAGTCTCCCACCATTGGCTTTCCATCCTCCCCACATCCACACACACACACTTCAGCGACCATGTGGCTAGACCAGGTTGCATCTTGCAATACCCAAGAAAATCGTATCCAGCCTGCTCTTGGCTCCTTAGGCCACAGTCACGGTATCTGGCTGTGTCTACCCCAGAAAGGGAGACCTTGTTCTGCTTTGCATGAGAAGTGCCACAAGGGGCATCCCAGGTCAGCCTGCATTAGAGTGAGACTCTGTCTCAAAAAGCAGCAACAAAGAGAAAGTGCCAGCAGTTCATCCAATCTGCCCACATCTTAGTTTGTGTAGACTAGGGTTACTTCTGCTTCCTACTCTCCTACCGCAGCTTTGTGAACTAACAGATCCTCCCACAAAACAAACTCCTTCCAAAACACTTTTGAGAGTAAACATGTGTCATTTAAGATACAATATAATTACATGGGTAGCTTCTTCATGGACACTGAGCTTCTTCTGATCTACATCCAGGAAAACAACTTCTGGAATCTGAAAAAAACAATGGATCACAGCTGCAAAATGTACTGAACTAAGTCACACAGACGCTGACCAAAGAAAAGGACAGCTTGCTATAAAGGTTAAACACAGATGAAGAAAGCATCCACAAAACAGAGCAGGGCTTTAGTCAACTTAAAATAAAGGTGGAGAGGTGGGAGCCTGTGCAGCGGCAGTCCGAGCCCCACAAAGGACAAGGCTGCCTCGGCACTGTGCAGAGAAGGCACACCTCCTTCACAGTGAGTTACTGAAGCGGTCCCACACTGCTCTGCTCCCCCACCTCTGCACAAGTGGGAGGTGCGAAGCTAACCTTACTGGTCCCTGCTACAGCTGTCCCATGTCACCAAGATGGCTGGTAAGCTTGTCATAACTGTGTTAGCTGAAGGTTACAAAGGTTACCCTGTTGTTTTTTAAAAAAAACTGAAAACTATTCCAATTTTTAAAACTCTGACTGCTCAAGTCATCTTCAATGAGTCACTTACTCACCAGGAATTTCAGGGAGCTTAAGTTTTCTTCCCTTTACCCTTGAATTTTTTATCGATTATTTGGGAATTTCACATCATGTACCCCGATCCCATTCATTTTCCAGTCTTTCCATGTCCACCCTCCACTCTATAACTTCCACCCCCAAAGAAAGAAGAAACAAAAAGCCACTTTGCTCCTCCATCTTACCCACCTTCCCACCGTCACTTACTCAATTGCTGCAGTGGCCTTGGGAGTTACAATGTGCCACGCAATTGCTACAGTGTCTTTGGGAGCTGTGGTGTCCCATGCAATTGCTGCAGTAGCCTTGGAAGCTGTGGTGTGCCATGCAATTATTGCAGTGGCCTTGGGAGCTGCTGTCTACCATGCAATTGCTACAGTGGCTTTGGGAGCTGCTGTGTGCCATGCAATTACTGCAGCGGCTTTGGGAGCTGCTGTGTGCCATGCAATTGCTGCAGTGGCCTTGGGAGCTGTGGTGTGCCATGCAATTACTGCAGTGGCTTTGGGAGCTGCAGTGGCCTTGGAAGCTGCAGTATGCCACGCAGCAGACCCTTTTGCCCAAACAGCTTTTCTTGTAAATGTTCACTGCAATGAATCGTTGGTCTGGTTCAAGGCCTCTGGCTTCTGCTACACTATCAATACTGGATCCTCACTGAGACCTCTCTCGGGTAGCCTGCTGTTGTCCAGAGTCATGGAGATCTCGTGGCTGTGGTTCCACAGGATTATCATCCCTTCATGTGCTTCACTAGGTCATAGATGGAGTAGATGTTGGGGTGGGCCACTGCTATAGCTGGTGAGATGTAGGGCTAGCTCTTCCAGGTCCAGTGAAGGGCGCGGCCAGTTCTCCCAGCACCAGCGAGGAGGTAGAGGGACAGTTCAGCTTGGCCCTGAGACATCACCATGGCCTTAGGTGGTAGTCCAGACCACAGGCACTGCATGGCTTTGATAGTAACACAGGCTACGGACATCAACACAGAGCCCAGATGTAGCAGGACCACAGGCTCAGACATGACCCTCAGGGGCAGCATAGGCCCAGACATCAGCAGGGCCTAGGCTGCAGCACAGACCTCTCACGGCCATCGTGTCTCCAGTTCCACCTCCCTCCACAGCTCCTGAGCTGTTCCACTCCTCCTTCTCTGCCATCTCTCCAACCACACCTGCTCACTGTTGTGGCACCCAGTGGTGGGCCAGGCTTGCAGTCTCTGGCTGGCTGCCTTCCCTGGCTTAAATCTTCTGTGACCTTTCCCTTTGACCACTGATAGGAGAGAACAAAACAGTGTCTGTGTGGGGGCATCTGGAGGGCTTTGTTTTAGCCTGGTCCTCACGGTTCTGGAAGAACACATTATCTTGGCCATCAGACAAAGGTATCTACGAGAGATCCTCATTTCCAACGTGGCCCTGACAAGCACAAGTCTCTGCAACTGGCGTCATGAAATAAAGCGACCACTCATGCACACAGTGGCTGGGTGTTCTGGGGCAGGGATGCATGCACCTCTTCTCGGGTCTATTTGCTTCAGCAGGTGAAAGGCAAAGCCCTTGGACTCTGCTGTGAGCACTGCATGAAGGCCTGAACCCATTTTCCCACATTCCCACATCCCTGTCGCTGGGAGCTCACCCCAACCTGTCTCTTCATTCTTTAGCCCATGCACCTTTACGCTGCTCCCTGTAGTAGCTCCAGGTTTAGATTCTCTTGAGCAAGCCAGGGTGGAGATAAGGATTTGATCTCTAGGAGCTGCAGCTGTCCCTGTCACAGCATCTGACTGGGCCTACCTGCCTGGATGGTTTAAAGACTAGCGAAGAGTGACTCATGGCCACGGCAGTCGGGGCAGAGGAGTAAATGCAATCCACAGGGAAGCGGGACTAGACTGCCGTCTGCATTCTCTGGAATTCGGGGTTACACTCATCAAGGATGCACACTGGTGCCACTCTGTCCCGGTTATTCTCAATCCTGCACCCACTTCGCCTCCTCGGCAAGGTCATGACTTTCTGTGCACTGACAGGGCCGCTTTCCAGGTCACCACCACGTCGTCTTCTTCAGCCCCGGGGAAATTTCCTTCTCCCCTTGTTTGGCCTTTGTGCCGTCATATCTGTACAGAGTCTAATACCAAGCAGCAAACACCATGATTGTTTCATTCCATGGTTTTGGCAACCTCAGCACGCACAGTAGAAGGACTGTCAACAGTGCTATCCTTTGGCTCTACAAACGCCCAAACACAAGAAGGTTACTGCTTGCTTTTGGGTGTTTTTCCAGGATGAAAACTTTGACGTTTTTTCAGAAGAAAAATACAGATCCATGCTGTGTCTTATAACTGTGTCACTTCAAAACCATCATTTTCTTTTCAGTTATTTTCCCCAAACACTAGCTTCCAGCCAGACTGTCATCTGTGTATCGGAGAGGCAAACGCACTCCTGCCAATGCGCTGTTGTGCAAATGAAATTAATCTGACTACGAAATGCAGTTTTAAAGCGTTCTTCCCACAGTGCAGCCACTGCAGTCACCCTGGCGCTGGCGACAGAGCTGTCACAGTCATCAGCAGCTGGGACACGTCCGCTGTGTGTCTCTTGTTCCGCGCCTTATGAAGAGAGCAGAAGGAAGGAGCGAGCTGAACGTCTGCAGCTCACAGATAAGGCGCATGTCGGTGAGACAGGAAAATCCTTCGTGTCTACTGCTAATGTATTGTTTACCTGTGCTGCCTGGGATACGAGTCCCATGACAAGCATTAATAAAGCAATAAAAAGTGTTAGCACAACACTCAAATTATCTGTTCAGCTGCAAGAGATTTTCAATCCTGAGTGTCTTTAAGGAGCCTGTATCTATTAAAGAAACAACAGGCAATTCTTCGTAAGGATGTCAGCTACCTCCAGTCCTTTGTGTACATGGCAAGTTCTAAACATACGGAGGGGGGGACTTCAGCTGAATAAAGCAATGTCTGTCAGGCTACTTTCTAATTTATCAACCTACATAGAAGCTTCGTCTTCTAAACTAACAACAGAAATAGAAAACAATCAACAGTTAAGTGCCACCACAAACAGGAGTGCCCTGGGAGGGCCACAAGGCCCTGTGGGAGTGTTCGACAGTCTGAGCCTCACTTCCTTGGGATGCCTACTATTAGGACCTCTTTCAGATGGACGGAAACATTGCTCAGAGAGGTGAGACAGGCGTGGGTGAGAAGATGCTCAGAAGTAAAAGGGATCACCTTGTCTTATCACAGGCAGACAGAAGGACAGAAAAGGGTGGGACCCAGACCACGAAAACTGGCAGCCATGAGGTCTGAAAACAGTGTGTGCCTTCAGTCAGGTTGACGTTTTTGAAGAACTGTGAAAAATGAAGAGACAAGAGTACTCAAAATGCTTCTGTATGAATGTTTTCACCTCCTAGAATTCTGATTGCTACCAGGAAAGGAGACGGAAGAAGGAAACACTCACTGACCCAGGCGGGTGCAAGAAAGCATAAATAACAACCAGGAAGCTCACACAATTGAAGGCGGTCACTTAGGGATGGCAAAAATAGGCAACAAGAAATTATCTTCAATGTGATAGGAAACATTTCCTTACACAAGCGAGTTAGCCTCTGAATATGTCAGAACTGGCCAAGTGTAAAAGGAAGCAATCGTCCTCTTCCTCCAGTCTCTGAGATTGATTCCTTTTAAAGGAATCTGCTCAAGGACCACACAAGTATAAAGACAAAGGAGAAAGCAAACAATTTGTGACATTTATTCATAGATAGGAGTAGTTTTACTTAATGGCTAGAGCACCCACACACACCAAAGAAATCTGTAAATACAAAAGTTGTTAGCTGTTGGACAAACAAAACTCATACTCGGAAGGAAAATGTTTTAGAAGATGACCGAGCACAGCATTTAATCTGCCAAGGCAGAACTGGGCTCTTCGTTTATTAGATCCCTGAAAATGGGGTCAACAGCTCGGGTTCAAACTCCAGCGATGCCCTTAAATAGACATGAAGTACTGAGCAGTTTTCTTCATGAAAGTTTGATTTATTTTCAAAATCTTTACAATGGGAAGGTTTAGTAGGTTGCGCTGAATAGGAAATCCAGTGCCTAGCTGGTGAGGAGTGTTTCCTGAGAGCTGGTGAGAGAGGGGAGAAGAGGCAGCCCAGCTGAGGAGAAATAAGCCACAGGGAATACAGATGGGGGAAGCAGATGTCTCCCAGAGGTTAAGATCCCTAAAATGAGAAAACTGCCTCCATCTACCTCTTGCTTTCCTGTGCTGAAATGTACGTTCCCCTCTGGAGCTGCGCAGAGTGACAGGATCTCAGATTCTGCCGTATGAACACAGAATACAGCACATGTTCAAGGCTGCCTGACCACTCAGGGAGGGCAGAGAGATGGACACCCCACTCTCAGCCAGAACCACCTTCTCACTGCTTCAGCACAAAAACGCCCTTGTCTGTGAAGGTAGCTGTCTCCACAACACAGCTATGGGCTATGAGACACTTCCCCCCTCTCCTTTGTTCCCGCCCAATTGTCATCCAAGAAGGAAAATTGTGATGT